CACAGAATCACACAGACACACAGACACACAGACACACAGACACAGAGAGAGAGAGAGAGACACAGGTGAGGGGGGCTTGCTCTCCCTTACCCCTAGCCCTGGTGAAAGAAAAGAGACACAGACACACAGAGAGACACAGACACACAGACACACACACAGAGACAGACGTACGCACACACACACACAGAGACACGCACACACACACACACATACAGAGACGCACAAACACAGAAACAGACACAAAAGACGCAAAGCCACACCCGCGTGTGCACACGCACACACAACACACACAGACACAGGCACAGGCACAGGCACAGGCACCGGCACAGGCACAGACACACCCAAACACACAAGATGAAGCATACACTCAAGAGCGTTATGAAGTGCGGGGTGCTCTCCCAGGCCTCGCCTCAAGACTTTGCCGGCATCCTGCCAGAGCGGGTGGTGATTTGCACTCCAAGTGCTCAAAGAAGTTTGCAGCCCAGCCTGGAGTGCTTTGGGTTTGGATGAAACGGCCGAGCAGCCTTCCTAAAACAACGATGGCGGAAATTGCCGCGTTCGGGATTGTAATGTGGTATTGCTTTGCAGGTTCAAGCTGTACATAGCCACGGCTCTGTACTTCAGGTCCGTAGGTCGTGGGTGTTGTTCAAGCTGCAGCTGCAAACCGGAGGTCGATCCTTTTCGCCCCGCGCTGCGACGGCCGGCTGCTCGTCAGTGGCAGGAGTCGGATGGTCTAGTGGGAGCACAACGTTGTGGAGCTACACATGCCGAACCTGCCGGAGACGGTCTCATTGTATTTCCAAACGCAGTGTACGCTAAAGAAGCCAGATTGCTTGACTCAGTGAACTGTACGTATTATAAAGATGACGGTTGACCCGTNNCCCCCCCCCCCCCCCCCCCCCGATTCTCGACTGGCTTGCTGTACTGTACTGCAGGCCTTGAGTCTTGCAGGCAGTGAGGTTGTGCAGCCGGAGCTATTTAAATTTAGCTATTTCAATTTTGGGTCGAGAGCAGCAGTCTGTCGTCCAGTCACGCGGACGTACAGCCTTGGGATTTTTATGCCCAATCATGGAATATTGTCGGCGGCAGCCTCAAGTAAAACTATCCACAGTACGCCACATGCACTCCGATTTCGGTTGTCTTGAACCTTGCCAGGCTTGGCAGCTTCCTCGTCGGTGGGGAGCCCCGTGTTGCAAACGCCTGTGTTAGCCACGGCGGTTGAGGCGACCCGCAGTGTGCTGGGGGATGTTGAGCTCTTGCTTTCAGTGGCGTACTACTTGACCTTTGCCTTCGGTGTTGTTCTCATCTGCACTTCATTTTGCTGTTAGTGGGTTTTCTGCCTGCTGATCTCAGACTTGCAGCCAGCACTTCCGAGCTAATCTGTTTGTTGCGCGTGCAAGCTGATCGCCCGCAGCTTGAATTAACGGACATGTGACATCTGTGACATCTGTGTGTTCACCGCAAATCTCCGCCAGGGCCGCCTGACGTCCCCTTGCCACGGCTATGTCCAACCTGCGGTGGCTCAGATGCTGAAGTTTGTCGCCTGGGATTGGAATTGAAACCGTTGCTGCTGGAGTTTCATCTTGGGGGTCTTCCATTTGGCAGGTTAAGAAGTTAGTCGCTCGGGTCGTTTCTCAAGATCCACCTATCCACTGCAGAAGTTTGTGCACATGCATGCATGCATCCATGAATACAGAATCAGTACATAAATGTACATGTATGCAGGAAAATGCCATGCTGGGGGATTATGCAGTGGCGCATGAGCTTTGCTGTGCGCCCCAGCCCGGGTTTATCCTTGGGAGTGAATCGGAGTGAACCTGCGGCCTGCTTCGGTCGTCCTTCCTTCAGCAACCAGTTCCACCATGAAGCGCTAAACCCTACACCGGCATTGTGTGGAGATTGTGGAGCTTGCCTGCCTTGTGCGAGAGTGAGAGTCGAAACCCTACGGCGAAGCCGGTAGGAAAAACACCCTAAACGGTTTCAGTTTCGATGAGGTCAGGCAGGTGGTGAGAGGGAGTTCCAGCCCTTGCAGATACACGATCGTACCTTGGCCGCTGATCACTGCCAGTGCTCTGCTCCGCGAAGATACCCATAGTCTATTATAAGATGCTAGAACATACTAGAATGTACTCTAACCTCCGATGATGTACTGCAATGTTCAGTACAAGACTATGTACTATGATATGCTATAACGGCTCTTGTTTGTATGTGCGTGCTGACACTTACCCATCACCAACGGTGTAGGTTTTGGCACTTCAGTTTGGGTTTTGGGCCTGGGTGATGTGAGGGCTAAGCTTAGTGCGGCAGGCTCAGATCCCCGTTTGTAGCCAGTCTCTCGGAAACCCTTACCAGGAGGGTGTAAGTTAAGCAGGATTCAGAGCAGCTTATGAACTTCTTTACTAGTCATTACTGGGGATTGCATCTGTGGCTAGAGCACGGGTATCGCGATCGTTGCAAGGCTCCAAATAGACACCTCCGCTTCAGGACGAGTGGGTTATTCGAGTTCCCGACTGTACATGGCCTCTCCTGGGCCATCGAAATAGCGATTCTCTATTGAGCTCTGATGCGCTACTGCATGCACAACTCAGAGTCCAGCAAGCCCCTCTCCGACTGAAGCTGAAGGTCACTGGCGAAAGAAGATGCTACAGCCCCCAGGCCTTCGTCCAGCTTCATGGTGCATGCCATGTATATATCAGCGGCGGAGTTGTCGATCGTTGAACTCGAATCCTGCTTTCCTTGCTAGTCTCACCCTCAGTCTTGGAACTTCTGTCCATGCCGGAGAACCTACAACCTACAAATAACAAGTTTAGATGCTTGTACTTGTGTATGTATATATATATATAGAACATACTATAATATTATATACATACATACACGACATACATGCATACACGCACGGACCCACGCACACAGGCCCGCCCGCCCGCCCGCTGCACCCGTTTGTTGCCCGGCCGCCCGCCTGCCTCTACGCACGCGTGCACGCATGAATACATACATGCGTACATACACACATACTTGTGTCAAGCCGGTGTGTTTGTCTGTCTTCTGCCTCTATCTGTCCGTCTGTCTGTCCATGTGCACAGAGAGAGAAGGCCATCCCGAAGCCATTTGGGCGAAAGCATTCCGGCAGACCTATCTGGAGAGCTCTACATATGCCATGGAAGCGCTGCACCACGACACATGCGGGCTAGCCGTGTGCACTGCGGGCTCGGGCGTCTGCACGTGCCTCGGGTCGTGCATCCACCGCAGAAGAAGACAGACGGCCGACCAGCCACCATGGTTGCATCGGCTTGCAGCGCATGGGACAAGGCCTCCGCAGGAAAGTTGCTCTCAGATCCTTTCCTGTGCCCTTGACACGCCTTCAGCAGAATGTCAGCAGATTCACCAGATCATCTGGCAAATTCGGTTGCTTCACGGCGTAGGGTTCGATCTTCAAGCTCCAGATCCCCTGACATTTTCATACTGGTCCATGTTCATCGTTTTCCGTCGCCATAAAGCTCGGGAGTGTTTCACTTTGAAGCTCGCCCATCGTTTGCCTCGCCTGGATTGTCCGAGTGTGAGAGCCGAAAGCTCGGGACAAAAGTCCAGGACCATGACTAGCAAGTTCACAGACTTACGAGTCAGGGTCCTGGACTCGTGCCCCGAGCTTACATCGGCATCAAGGAAAACCTACTATGGCAACCGGAAAACGGTGAACACCCACGGCGAGGTTGGTTGGTCCCAATGGTGGATGTGGTAGCTGCAGGCCCGGTTTCAAAAAAAATGCCCAAGGCCGGAATGGCCTCGACCATCGCGCCGGCCTCTTATGCTCGACCGGTGCACAGCACAAGACACCAATGGCTCCCTGCACCATTGCTCAGAGATCTCCGGGACGCGAGCTCCCCAGGCTTCCACCAAGTTCCAACTCGTACGTTGGCCCCAGCCCAGGCTGCATCGGTTCTCGACCGGAGTCGCTTGGCAATCCCACCCACAATCTAACATCCAGCCGTGTTCATGAATCCAGTCCACCAAGCAGCTCCTTCAGTCACCATGCGCATCGTAGAGCCTGCACTGAATGTGCACACGCGGGCTGCGCCACAGCCATCCACAGTCTGTGTATGTCTGCCCCGTGATGTGAGTGGCGAGATGTCCTTCGTCGGACGATATCATCCGACTGCGTACTCCTAGGTCCTCCGTGTGAGCAATCACGTGTTTCTGCCGCAGTGCGTGCTCCGTGCGGCCTTATAGTTTAGCACTGCTCATGAGTGGGCCCTGGGCTGGAGCCTCCATGCCTAAAACTTTAGAAACGTCTATGTATCACATTGTATCACTATTCCCAAGAGCGGCTTAAGCCAAGTGTGCTCCTGACAAGCCACCAGGCCACTAGGCTCCCGGCTAAACCGCAAGGGTCGCAACTTCGGCAGCAAAATGTTTAGCAGCTGGAGAAGACGCCAAGGCAGTGACTCCGACCATAAGAGGCGATGAAAACTCCTCAAGCCCCATGTTGCCCTACGTTTAGTAGATGCAGGCCGTCTTCGTGTCCAGGGTCCTAACCGCAGACCGCATCCATTGAGATCAGGGCTTTCGGTGTTTAGGGTGTGAGGTAGAGTACGTATAGGGTTGTTTCACAACAGGCATTGGGTTCGAAACGTCGGGGTTTTGGGCGGTCTGCAGAGGTGCAGGGGTCAATGTTGAATCGTTAAGTTTTAGGAGTTGGGGTGTTTATCCGTATACAGCTTATTGCTTGGATCTGTTGTCGGAGTCCCGTCCTTTGAGCAGAAGCGGTGTTTGCGAGCTCGTTGGAGCTGCATGCTGGCCGGCTTGCACCGGGAAAATCTGGTTAGTCTAGTGGGCTCGGAATGGGTTGGTGGGGTCCGAAGTTTGGTCATGTTAACTTAACTGGAAGTTTCTGATGAGCTTTGGTTGCTTGTTCCTGTTCGTGGTTCGAGTTGTCCTGGACCGGTATTTGATTTCACTTCGCTGCCTACGGCCGGCCGCCTGTGGAAACGTCTAGATGTTTGGAGGGATTTCCGTGAGATCAGCCTGACGGGGCATTGTAGGGCCAGGGCCAACTAGGGTCAAATCCGGCTCCCTGGACTCCTTGATTCCCTTTGTATCACCCTTCGAGGCCCTTTGCCAAATTCCCTGTCAGAGCCGCAGGTCGTGCGGACGTACCAGGCCTCGTATGCGATCCCACAGCCGTCCAGCGCTTGGCAAGTGCGACGACTTCAGATGGTTTTCAAGTTTCACCTCAATGTCGCTACGGGTGCATTAGCATGTCAGGTTCACCCCCCTTGTCCCCTGGACAAGCTGATATGTAAAGCTGAGCCTCATTGCATAGAGGCGCCCTTCAAGACACATCGCGGTCCGTCAAGGCAAAGCGTTAGGTGTGACGTTTCTTCACGTGCAGCACTCAGCACCACCCACCTGCCACCTCGAACTTGTCGAAGCGGTTACGAATCTCGCAGCGGCATGATTTTGCAGGCACTGTAGATTTCAAGACACAAGCAAGCCACTGTTGACTTGTACCAGCAATCAGAACTCCCAACAAACCGTTATTGAAGCTTCGAGTTCCAACTGAGAGCTGCAAGATTTTGTCATCGATATTAGCAGCAAACAGTTGACTACTTGGATTTATAAACTGATTTATATTACCATGTGTTGCTCCCCGATCAACTTAACTAAAATGCAGTTGCCTCCCACACCCTAACGTGTTCGTGTGCATCTTCCCAGGAAGTGTGTGTCGTGTTGTCTGCCGTGCGCTGGATACACCGTGATGAGTTCTGCATGCGACTTCGCGTTTTTTTCCTGTAGCTTCTCATTTAGAGACGTGGCCACCCGGCTCAGGCCAATCCATCCGGAGTCAGCAGCCAGCCGCACACAGGTGGTCTCCAGGGTCAAACAGCGGGTGTTCAGATGTTTTTGCTATGATGCTGACTGGCTGCATCGGTTCCGCGGTGCCGAAAGGTGCCGTGCCGTCCGTATGCAAAAGTATTTCGAGTCGGTGCTGATCATAGTGGCTTTCGAGGTTTGGCCCCATGTCGTCCAGGGCATCAACTGCATCTTGGGCGACGTGCCTGGCCTGGTATCTGCAGCAGCTTCGCATATGCTCCAGTCTCGAAGACAGCTCTTGGCTGAAGGAGTGATGTATACCGTTCCGCAATGCTACGCACCCCGCGACACAAGAGGAAAGCTTCGACCAAGCACTCAGGCCGGTGTACCGCCGCCGCCCCTGAAGAATCCCACCCTGAGCATCCTGATCAGAGATTTCGAAATGGAGCTCCCCGGCTTGGGGTTTGGCGTAGTTGCCCTTGGACTCCGGTTTGAGTGCGGGCTCTGGAGGTTCGGTTGCAGGGTGTCCGGTGGAAAGTGTGCCGAGCTTGCCCCTTCAAAGGGGCACTTCCCAATGCCGCATCCACTTTTCTTCACAAAGTGTCTACTACCCAATTTGGCTGCCCGCCTATCTTGTGTGCATTCCTGCTGAGACTTCCTCACTTTGCTAGCACCTGTTGACCAGACTTCTAGAGGGAGATCCCTACAACAACTGACCCCGGAGAGCCACTGAGCTTCAGTAAGCCTTGAATTTTCGGCCACGGCCGACGCAAGGAACCCCGGGCTGCCAGGCGACTGGGAAAGTGACCTGGGCCGGGGACCTCAGGTTTGCAAGGTCGCGGAGTCCCGGCTTGCGAGTTCTTCCGGCCCTGAGGATGCTCTGGATTGACTATATAGTCAATTATATTAGGACTCGAAGTATTTTCAGCCGCCTGGACTTGCACAGAGAGTTCTTGTTTGCCTCGGCTGCAACCTTTGACCTAGCATGGTTTAGCCATCATGGTGCGGGGCCCGGTACAGCAGACGTCCGAGAAAATGAGATGTATCGGCCAAGATATCGGCGTTGCCTTGACCATGCATACTGCCTGAATCTAACCTCGTTCAATCAGTTCTGGGGTTTGGATCCAACGTTACTATGATTCAGGTATGCCACGTGAGACTTACAGTATCCCTCGGCCCCATGCGTTCTTCGTGCACCGATCCTAAGATCCTCCAAGGCGCTTGTGGCCGATGTGCGAAGCACATTAGCTCTATGCTTCTTGAGCTCGCCATAGACTCAGATGTGGGCTTTGGCAGTTCCAAAGTCCAACAGTTGAGGTTTTCGTATATAGAACAAGTTGCGAGGGACTTGTTTCCGTCTTCAAACCTGCGGCTACTACTACTGTGGTCGCTGCTCTGGCTGGTGGTTTTAGTCGCTGTCGAAGTCGCTGCGGCTGTGGTTGTGGTTATGGTGGTTGTTCTTGTTCTTGCTTTTCTTCTTCTTTTTGGTAGAGGTGGTGGTGGTGGTGGTGGTGGTGGTGGAATGCGGTGCAAATGCCGTCATCGATTTGAGGCTCGCGAAGTGATGAACCTCGAGTTGTGGCACTACGCAAGCTCTAGAGTAAGTGGCTTCCACATCGACATTCGTACCGTACTGCAGTGATTATAGCTACACCAACCCGCCTCGGCCGAGTGAGGGTTCAGGGTTTATGAGGTCTGAGGTCAAGATGATTGCAGGTCGTGGCCTGGCTAGACTTGAGTCCAGTAGCAATGCAAAGGGGGTCTTATGTTCAACAGCAGAGAGGAGCAGCAGCCCCCGAAAGCATCGAGTGCGGGAGCAAGAGCACGAGGCGCAGCAGGAGCAGGAGCAAAGTCCAGAGCAGCAGCAGCAGCAGGAGTTAGATCCCCCAACAGGCCCAACAATCACAGCAGAGATAACAACCCTCTTCCCTAGTAATAAACACACTTCTCGAGTTTCTATTGGGGGTGGGCCTCGCCGTTTAATGTTACGGGGTAAAGCTTCTGGTTCAGGGCTGAGGATTTGTTCTGTTGATGTTTCTTTCTTGGTGCCGTGCTCTAACGGAGTCGAGCTACTCTGCGTTAAAGGCCGTATGTGCCGGAAGCCACGGTTGTTTGCAAGGCACACTCGACTACTTCAGCAGCATCGAACTTTCACCGAAGCAATGCTAACTCACAGCGTGGTTGCTGAGCAGGAGTCGCAAACAATACAGGCGCTCAGCAAAATAGCTCGACACACCGGTATTTGCGAAAAACATATACAGTCATTGCGCGGGGCCTCGTTGTGCTGAAGGAAAGTAAGCATAGAAGGCGCGGTTTTTGCATCATGCCGGAAAGCGAACAGCGAATGCACCTTGCCCCGCGCGGAGGGGAGGTTTGCTCTGCCGGACTTGTTGCGGCTTACCCAAGCCCTGAAATGCAGGCTCCTCATGGCTAAACGAGAGGGCAAGAAAGACCCAGAGTATCCCGCAGTCCAAGGCACTGGGGGACCGCATCTTGGTGCCTCTGGCACCGGGTGGGCCGAGCGTTCCTGTGTCGCTGGGCAAGCGCTTCCTTGAGTGGAATCAGTGGAATCTCTTGCAGTATGAGGCCTTTGCCACCAGCTTCACATGCATCTCAACAGCCTCAGGTCCAAAAATGGACCCCAGGGTCAGCCCTCGCAGACTTGGCAGCAGGCCATGGTACTTAGCTTGTCGGTGTCGTTGTAGTTTCGGAATTGTCGGCTTCAGACCTGCGAGAGTCACTACGACCATTCACCATGAGAAGGGCAGCAGGATGGAGTCAGAATTGGGCTGCAGGGCTTGCCGATCACTGACGAGTTCAGGGTGTGGTGGCTTAGCAGGGCACTCGCTGGGGATCGCAGTCCCGTAAGGTGATATGGTCAAGGCAACAAGGCGGATTAAAGGCACTTTTCCACTTCAATGAAAGCATGCACCGGTCTGCAAATGCTTGAGTCGTCGCTGTTGAGACCGGTTAGGGTTGATCCTGGGTCGAAAGTTGGTACGCCAGGGGGCATGGCCACTGGAACCCGCAACCTCCAAAATGAGGTTAAACTCGTAGACCCCGTCGGAACCATCGCTCCAACTACATGCCCTGAGCCTGAGTTCAAGCCCCTAGCTGCCCAAAAAAAGTCAGTGCCTCACAAACTCTGCATTGATCTTCATTGGACTTCGCAGGCCTTTGCCGCCCACTGCCCGGCTCTACAGGTAGCTCTGCGCCAGCCCAACACGGCCGAGGCCTGCAAGTGGGATTCTGCCTTTCGGGAGAGTGTCAGTTGATTACACGGGGTCAGGAGCCGGGAGCATGGGTTGTTGAAAGTCGAAAGCAAGTGAAGCCTCAACTTGCTTGTGCAACCTGAGCCCGCTCGAAGCCAAGATTTACCACCGGCTGCCAAGGTCTATAGGTTGTCCAAGACCCAGGGGCACGCCTTTCCTCCTGCAGGGTTGCCCAAGAGGTGGAGTCTTGTTTCGCACAAGCCAGCTGCTCCAGCGCTGGCTCTCTGGGTTGGCGGACCGGAGAGGCGCACACCTTGGGGAGATTCTGGGAACCCGTGAAGTGTTGCGTGGTATGAGCGTCCTTATCCGCGGTTGTGAGCTTTCACAGACAGAGAACCAGTGCCTTCTGGAGGTCCAGCGATTCATGAGACTGTGCTTTGACTCACTGGGTCTCCCGCCTCCTCTTTGCCACCCAGCCGTGTGGTACCAGCTCCACGGCGGCGCAAACAGCTTTCCATCAGGCACCCAAAAAGGACATAAGCATAAGCATTGTATAGGGATATCCCTACCTTATTGGACTTCATGATAAGAGGGTTTATATGGGATATCCCTATCCTAATTTTTGCTTATGTGCTTTTTGGGGCCCTAATCAGGCAGCTGGAGGATCCAGGCACTTAGTCTGCCGTGCAGCTGAGCAAAAAGTAGCATAAGACGGCTGGTGGCATGTAGGGTTTAGGGTTTAGGGTTTAGGGTTTAGGGTTTAGGGTGTATCATACGCCTTCATCAGTCAAACACCTCAGGATCAGAATCCCTAAACCCTAAACCCCATTCAGAAGCATGCTTGGAGAGTGTCAGGTTGCAGGGTCTGCGTTTGGGTGCTTCTGCTGTAGTGCCTCAGGCTTCCTAGCAACTGCCCTACATCCATGTGATGGAAGCAATAGGGTTTAGGGTTCAGGGTTTAGGGTTTAGGGTGTAGTAATCATAACAAACGTAGTAACAAAAAATAATTGGTGAGTTAGGGTCAACTGTTCATTGTGAAACAATTGTTCGAATCGCGGCCATAGTCAGTACGATGATCCACTGTCTTCTGAAAAATACGATAATACTTCGAAATCAAAATAGGGATTTGAAGACACATACGCGTCTAGTCTCTACAAAAAGGATCGTGTATAATGTACAACACTGTGGGAATATTATCTGTAAGTGTTCTTCGAATTTCTGAACCCTAAACCCTAAACCCTAAACCGAGCACACTGTGCCACGAAAGCCAATTCGGCGCAGGAGATCGCAGATCACGCAGCAGAGGACTTAGCATCCGGGGTTTAGGGTTCAGGGTTTAACGGGCTTTGTATCTGAGCAATATTAGGGGTCGAATACTTTAGGGTTTAGGGATGTTTAGGGTTAGGGTGGAGGGTGGGTCGAATGTTTGAAACAACACGTCAATAACATCCCCCTTCTAGTTCCGTTCCCATATAATCCTGCTATAGTAGACCCCTAAATCTGTTCCAATCATGAAGGCCCTCATTGCAACTTTACTTGGCGGTCTGCTGATTGGCTGATAGGACGTTAACATTCTGGGTTTGTATATGGACTATAATGAGTAGGCTAAACGTTTAACTTTAAGGAGGGGTTCAGAAGTCAGCCAAGATAATAGATCGTAAGATACTACAATATACTACCATAATATACTCTGCTGCACAAATATATACCATAGTATGCCCTAAACCCTAAACTCTAAACCCTAAACCCTATACTACTATAAGGATGTCAGCCAATTTTAGTTGTGGAACTCTGGGACGCTCGGCTCCTAAACCTGGTGACCTGCTCATCTCACGTCGCGCTTTAAGCTTGTTCGGGTGGGAGCACAGAAAAACAAGTAAATAGTTACATAGGGAGTATGGGTAGCTATACACAGATCGAGGGGCACGATGAGTAGTCATAAGTCATAAATCCCAGAAGCCCTCCTGCACGGAAACAGATGAAGCCTGAAGAAGTGTAGCTCCTAAGCCCGACTCTATAGATGCTAAACCAAGGTGAAGGTGAACGTCTTCAACACCATCAACAACCTGATAAAAGGAAGCACCGACATCCGCGACAAGGTCGGGCTCCGGAAGAATCGGGTCTCTGGTTTGGGGTTTAGCCATGGTCATCTTAGGGCTCTACCATGGGTTCCCCATAAGATTTAGAGGTTTAGGGTTTGAGGACGAAGTAGTATCGGTAATTAGTTGGGCCCCCATATTGTAGAGCCCTTGTAGTATCCCTTATAGTATCCCTTATAGTATCCCGTTTAAGGAACCCTTTAAAGGAACGATACAGCTGTTGCCCCAGCTTGCAGGCCTGAAGTTTGAGACCCCTCAGGACATCGCAGGACTCTACCCGTAGACTCCATTGCAGTTCCTTTTTTTTGGCTTAACCAATTTTATATTAAGAATTTTATAAGGCATCCCCAAAAAGGAACTACAATTTATATTCAGGATGTTATAAGGCATCCCCAAAATGGTTCAGAGACGCCTTGATGGTTGGAACGGGGGCTTGGGGGTAGAATATTCTGATAGGGGTACACGGAGATGATAAGGGGGACATGGTTGCAAATTATTCAGACCTCTGCATCAAATCGATAAAGTCCGGGAAGTGCGTAGCGACGGAGGGGTGCACAAAATGTCAGTCAAGCACCGAAAACCTTGGAGCATGAGGCAAGTCATCAAGCGAAGCTCAACTTGGAAACATCCTGTCTTGTGTGGGTCTTGACAGTGAACATGCTGCAGCAAATAGCAGAAAAGACTCGTTTCGGAATCATGCACCAAGACGAACCGCAGACTCTATGCAAGTCCGAGGTACGTAGCCTGAGAGGTTGAACACTCAACTTGTTTCTGAAGACCCCCAATATAGCGGCTTAGATAATTACCTATACTATTCAAACCCTATTCTAATTATCAGGGCCCCTGCATTACCCAAATTCTGACATCTCTGACTCAAGGGCACTCTAAAACCGTAATCCTGACACCTCAACCCTAAGCCCTGAACCCTCAAACCCTAACCTCTACATACTAGACTGGAGTCTTTGGGTTCGTCCTAAAGTCGAAACAAACTCCACGATGTGCCTGCGCCTGTCCGTCTAAAAAATCAGGACTACACCGGGAAGCCTGCCTACCCCAAAGCCCCTAGCAGCCCTGAAGCCATAAACCCCAAACTCCCAAGCCCAAAAGCCCCACACCCTAAACTCCAAAGCCCTAAATCCTAAAGCCCCAAACCCCTAAAGCCCTAAAGCCTAAACCGCCGTGCCCTTGAAGCGCGCCTGCGTCCTAAATCCTGAACTCTTTTCTTGAGGGTTTAGGGTTTAGGGTTTAGGGTTTCTACACCTCATACCTGGAGCCTACGCTTTTTTTGGTGTTTCATGAGGATTGACCTATGGTGTCCGTTGTAGTTCGCTTACCCTATAGGATCCGAAAAATAAAGCCAACAAAAAGAAGTATAGATAAGCAAGGGACCTACTTTTTCTAGGGTTCCTTCATATGATCTCCTCATATGAGTCCTTACAAATGCAGGTTCTTTAGGCTTTAGATGAAGCCTAGCGAAACCGGGCCCCAACAGCGGCAAAGGGGGCCTCCGTGTAGGGTTTAGGGGTTTGGGTTTAGGGTTTTAGGGTTTAGGGTTTAGCCGTCTTCTGAGAGGCTTGCACCCTTAACCCTTAGTCGTAAACCTTCAACCCTAAGCCCAACCCAGCCTCAAACCGCCTGTAGCAGCCCTCTTGGTACCGTTATACTGTGCACCACCCACCGAGTTGACCCGAAACCCTAAACCCGTATAGGTAGTTCTCTAAATTAGGATCCCGTTTTAGGGTCCTTTTTACAAGGGTGCCGTACTATATTGGGGACCTAAGAAGGGACCTAATTTCGAGAACTACCCTCATACCTATAGTCTCCATTGTAGTTCCTTTTTGGGGATGCCTTATAAAATTCTTAAAATAGAATTGGTTAAGCCCAAAAAAGGAACTACAATGGAGACTACAGGTAGTACCTAAGCCCTAAACCTTAAACCCTTAACTGCCCTCATAGTACCTAATAAACTGGGCAGGTGAAGTCGGGCCAGGTCGACATCCAAGGAGGCCCGGTTTGCTGCGGTTTAGGGTTTAGGGTTTAGGGTTTAGGTCTTGCGGTAGCCAGGGCTTTGGGTTTGGGGTTTCGCTAGTTTGAGGGTTTAGGGGTTTGGGTTATCTGGGGCTTCTGGGTTAAAGGTTTAGGATTTAAGGGTTTAGGGTGGTTAGGTCGGCGATTTGGCTACACCTAGAGCAGGGTCCTGGGGCGATGGTCCTGGGCAAATTCCGTGGGAGCCGCCATCCTTTCTAAACAGTTCTGTGCAATGCAGGTTGGAACGGTAGAAGCAAGCAGTGAGGCAGCTCTTGCTTTACGGACCATGGCACCATGTAGTAACAATGCAGTTTAGGGTTTCGGACTTAGTGTTTGTGGCTTAGTATATACCTACTGTAAGCCTTAAAGGGGCACAGTAACCTTCGTGCTAACGCATATGCTGCTATACATGTAATATACTACATTATATTAATATAATATAATATAATAGAATAGAATAGAATAGAATAGAATAGAATAGAATAGAATAGAATAGAAAATGATATTATATTATATTATATTATATTATATTATATTATATTATATTATATTATAAAATATAATATAATGAAATATAGTATAATATAATACGATATAGTATAATATAATATAATATAGAGAAATATAATATAATATAATATAATATAATATAATATAATATAATATAACATATAATAT